TACGCTGCTCCAGCTCCAGCCGCTTACGCCGCCCCAGCCGGAGGAGCTTATCCAGTCGGAGGACGTTAAGAAGGTGTGAATTCGATTCGATTCAATTCAACCAGTATTTGTATATTTGGAGTATTTAAGAACCGAAAGTTCAATAAATATTATTTTCCACCTGATTTTGTTTTTTCTGAGTTTCGGGCAAAGGAAATATCCGAATAAGAACCCAAGAATCTAATTTCAATACAGGATTCTAGACAATCAGAGGTCTGTCAGATTCCGATTCCAGTAAATTTGGTATATTGAAGGATAGCGATATATACAGTACCCATGAGTGTGATCAGAAGACTACGGTAGATACAGTAACCCAGACGATGTTCAACTATCACCATAAGTCATTTCAAGCATCCAATGAATCCCGGAAACTCGAACCAGATAGAGAACCGGGGCCTGGAGACGTTTCATTATCACAAGTGGAAACAAGCTTATCACGATTTCTAATGGCTTCGTTGAAATTCAGCCGGGTGTCGTTCTATTAGAGGTTTTACGGTAGGCTAGAAATCCAAATCTAGTCCCTGGCCAAAAAAACTGAGCAATGGGTGTAAACCGACAGGCGGAGATTGAAGAAAATACATTTTTTCACTTCGGAGTGTAAAATTACATGGTTCTGTTGACGTCAAAGTGAGACGACCGGGAACACAAAAAGTGTAAACGGATGGTTTTCGTTTAGGAGAAATTTTGAAAAAAAAAATGGCAAAAAGAACTACCGTAGAACCTGTATTAGAAGAGTCCCCTCTAATTGAAGGACCCCTGAAGTAGAAGAGAGGGCCCTTCGGAGGTACCATGGAACAATAGAAGGGCTGGTCCTTCTAATACAGGTTTCAAGGTAATTGGGCTGTGTGAACGCCTAACACTAAACTCTAGAAATGAGACCATTTTTGACCTAAAACATCTTTCAAAAATTACCTTAAAATGCAGCCCAACGCGGAGACGAGAGCATGAGTGAACGAGACGACACGAACGGCGAAGAGTCGAATCTTGTTATCACTCCAATCGGGTTGCTTCTTTTGAACGATGCTTCGTGCGACGAGATATTCTCCACGGAGCGCAGTTCCCACTACTCCACACACGAGTAATTTATCCAACATTTTTCGAATTGGAGGGGATAGTTTATGAAATTACCTGGAAAAATCTAGATGAGTTGGCAGAGAAAAGGAGATGGAGGTGACTTCACGTGAAGAGAAAGTGAGTCAGATTGCTCAGCACGTCTTCTGAGAATTTGTGAGAGAACGAAAAACAAGAGGACACCTAATTGAAGGCGGATAGACGGAAACAAGGAGTCAGAAAGATTCGGAATTCGAAATTTCTGAATTTGAAAAAAAGGGGTAAATCTGGATTTTATGATTCGGGGGAAGCCTCTAAAATCTCTAATTTTTCCGTTGTAACAAGGAAGTAAGAGAAAAGAGAGGATTCTGAGTTTTCTCAGTCTGTTCCGATGGCTTTCTGGGGAATTATTCATGCCCAGTGGCCCAGCGGCCGAATGCGAGTTTTCTAGTCCCTTTGCTGCGAAGAAGCGCGCGAATTTGGATTTGTATTGATTTTCAGTATTTTTCCCAGATTTTCACAGGATTTTCGAGGTTTTCTGACCTGAACACTGGCAAGAACCTCGAAAACCCCCCAAAAAAAAACTATAGAAAACACTGAAAATTAATAAGAAATTTGAATTTCCTCTTCCTCGCTGATGGACTAGAAAACTCACACTCGGCCGCTAGGCCACCTATTCCCAATTTGCTTTTTCGATACGGTTTTTTTTTGCATTTTAAGATTTTTAACATTTTTTCCACAATTTTGATGTGAATCTACCCATGTTTCTGCACAAAATAAACCTTTAAAATCACCCAGAAATTATTTTTCCATGGATTTTTGTAACTCTCGAAAACTTGGGAATTCGAAAACAAAACTATTGAAAAAAGCAAAGTGGTTCTATTCAAACGTTCAAGTGGGAACACACAAACCCCTCGAAAACGAACAGAAAGATGAAAAAAGAGAGTGAAAAATCACATGAAAACTAACCAGTCTCTCGCTCTAAAAAACTAACTCTTTTCGGTTTTTAAGGAGAGAGCTAGAGAGACGCAGAGAAATAGGGAGAGACAGTAGGCGAGATGGAGAGACGCAGAGAGCAATCAGAGCAAGACTCCTTGCCGAAGAAAGTTGGTCGGGGGGGTGGGGGGGGGGGTATAAGAAAAATAAGAAAAAAATGAGCAGAAAATATGAAAAAGTGACAGGGTGCCTCCTATGATGTCAGTTGGAGGATGACCCTCGAAATGGGCTGGAAACTCTGAAGAGACACCTGATGACGTGGAGGTCAGAAGAAGAGAACTATTCGTCCTCCTAAATATAAACATCCCTATCAGATAGGGTCTATCTTATCAGTACAATATGTCGAACACCTGATTTCTTTTTTTCTCTATTTTTGAGTCATTTTATAGACCAGGAAATGGCTGGAAGAGGGGTGGAAGGTTATAGAAAATGAAGAAAGATGGACTACGAACTAAAAATTTCAATTTAAAAAATATGAAAAAATCGAGAAGAAGGTCACTACAAACTACAAGTTGCCGAATCAAAAAAATTTGGAAATTTTCCTATTTAGTTAATTGGACCTTACAAAATTTAATTAGAAAAACAGTGTACATCAAAATGAAAAAAAAACGGATGAGTAGAAAGACTAAAATTGTTCTAAAATTGACTAAAAATGGTTCAAAATCGACCAAAAATAGTCCATAATTGTCTAAAAATTGTCCGAAACTGGCAATAAATGTTCAAAAGTTGACCAAAAATGGTCCAAAATCGACCAGAAATAGTCCAAAGTTGTCTCTTTAAAAATGGCACCTAACATCGAAAACAATATGGAAAAACTACAATAATCCTCTTGCCCCTACCTACATAATCCACATTTGGAATGATCAATGAACACTTCTTTTAAAAACGATGACCCCGTTACCCCCACCCCAAACGAAAAAAAAACCTAAAATGCCCAAACGAAAAACGGAGGAGACCCGATAGGAAGAAAGAACAAGATCCTTTATCTCTGCGTCTCTTTTCCTAAAACACTTTCTCATTTCACGTAACAGGTGAGAGAGTGAGAGAGATAGAGAGAAGGAAAGATGAGTTGGTTGGAGACAGACGCGCACTGTTTGCAGTTTGGAGACATACGCTGAAATTAGTGTTGAAACTGAATTTCCTCCTGATCATTTAAAAATTTGTGATTTTCGGGAAAACAAGAAAATACCTTTTAAGGCAATTTTCGGGAAAACGACCACATATGGCAGTGGGTTCTGACACCTTATGTTTGAATCGATAAGTCTCCTAGATCATTCCGTATTATGCTATGTTTGGTCAATTTCGAGCAAATAAAAGAAAACAAGAAAAAAGAGAAAAAGAGATTTAGAGAAACTATCAAAAGCATGTGGGGCGAAAGGATTAGGAAGAACGAAAACTCTCCAAGTTGCAAGGCCAAAAAAATCGAGGAAAAAATTCCTGTAGATCAAAAATTATCCGAGAATTTTTGAAGAGTTTGATCTACCCTACTTGGCAAAAAGTGACTAAAATTGTCCAAAATAGACTAAAAATCGTTCAAAATTCATCAAAAATGGTCCAAAATTGATTAAAAATCACCCTAGATCGTGTTAAAATGGTCCAAAATTGTTTTAAAATGACTCAATATTGGTTAGAAATTGCCTGAAAATGGTCCACACTAGATCTTAAATTGGTCAAAACAGGCTGATAATTACCCTAAATTGGTCCAAAAATAGTAAAAAATCTACAAAAAATAGTCCAAAATTGACTAAAAATAGTCCAAAATAGACCAAAAATGGTCTACAATCTTAAGCTTCCGCCTAGCTTCTATTATAATCTTCTCTGTTATCACTAATCACTAAATCTGCCTCACTATCACAAATGGCGTGATCCTATCCGCCCTCCCATTGTACAAACACAGATGATACTGACCAACTGATCGCCGCAACCATGTGCGACCTCTCTATTATAATCGGCTTCTTCTCATACATATGCATTTCTTTTCGGACGATTGGAAGGTCGTTTTTTTCGTGAAAATCTAAACCGGCCTTTTTAGATCAAAGAAGGTGTACCCTTTTTGGAAACCACGTGGTTTCAAAAAGGAAGAAGAAGAAGCATGTGAGGAAGATTTACAACATGCCATTCTTTAAGGTTATCAAACATTTTTATGTTTGAAGAAGACAGACAAGGTATCATCAATCTTCTCAAAAGTACTCACGTTTTATGGGAGAGAGAGAGAGAGAGAGAGAGAAGAATAGGACAAGTTACACCTACATAGTTAACCTACTGACGACGATTTCATTTGATCATTGTTGAAGGAATCGAAGTATAAAGTATCAAAAAAGACAAGGTACATCCAAATGGACCCATCGAAAGTTTCCGAAATCGAAATTCGAGTTATCCCAGTCACCACGCTTGGAAACGGACTCACAACGGGCCCTGCCACAGTTCCTTTTAAGATCTATATTTTCGGATCAGTGAAATCAGATAAGATAGAACTTGACAAGTACTACAAAATGATACAAATTGGAAAACAGTATCTTGTCTAGGAGCAAAGTTACAAGCCATAAGCTATGACTGTGTAGCTCGGGCGGCTTTTGGCTTGTAACTTTGTTCATAGACGAGATACAGTCCTCCAATTGATATCGTTTTGTAGTACTCGCCGAGTCCTATCATATCTAGTTTAGTTGTTCCCAATATATTGATTTAATAAAACTATGACAGGACCCGTTTTTATGTACGGCTCACTTGTTCCTTTGATTTTCAGCCAATTTCTATTCCCGAGAGAACGCTGAATTTTTTATGTACAAGGTTATATATTGAAATCAATAGGGGTGAATCAGTCAAATTGAAAGACGAAGAAGAATAGTATGTTGTGAAAAAGAGAAAAAGGAGAAAATGTTTATATATTAGGTTGGCAGGAAAGTAACTGTCCCTTGTTTTATTTGTGAATAATACAAAAGCAGGATTAATCCAAGATTATCAGTATGCACCGTCGTGGTCTACGACATGTTGGCAGTCTTCAGGTAACTTGTGGATACAATACCTTCAAAAGCCAGCTAGTCGCGAATCAAAGTATTCATTTTTTCCTGTTTTTTCACATAAATGGTGCAAATTTTCGTATTCTCTAGATGAGGTTGTATCTCTCCGAATATCCAATAATCTGATAGAGCTCAGTCCGGACTATAAGTAGGCGAGTGAGAACGGTCCCACTGAAGCTGCTCAGGTCTGACTTGACTGCAGGTAAAAAATGAAAAAACCTCATGTTCACGGAAAGTCACGCCGTACCTGAGCCGCTCTGGCTGGACGGTTCTCCTTTACCTCCGTCAAAGACCTGGTTCAGCTCTATCAGATCATTGGTTATTCAAAAGTATACGACGTCATCTGGAGCTTAAGGACTTTAACACAATTGATGCCTGAAAAAATGGACTGGAGGTATACTTTGACTTGCCACTAGCTGGCTTTTGGAGGGATGGTACCCACGAGTAACCTGAACATTGCCAACATGTTGTGGATCACGATGGTGCGTATTGCTAATTCTGTATTATTCTTGTGTTTGTGTTATTTACAAATAAAAAAAATGGACAGTTACTTTCCTGCCAACCTAATACAAATTGAAAAAAATGGGCTCTTTTAAGAGAGCCAATATGGACAAAAAGGGGCGATGTTGTAGTTTGAACTAAAGAACAATGCTCTTGATTGATTGACGTCTAAAATGGGATGGGATTCTAAAGACGAACATATTTGGAGCCCAATTTTTTCACAGATTGATTGACAGTGATGCTCGGAACAGGGGAAAAAGTGAAAGTTGGAAATTGGAAAATAAAAATCACATGAAAAAATTTAGGAAAAAAAATTCATAGGGTTGGGAGTACAGGGCGTTTATGGGTTGGAGACATCCTGAAGTTTTGATGGGAATCTCGACATTCTGATGTACATGCAGATCCCTGTTATAGGATATCAGGGCAGTAACTGATTTGCAAAATACCTGGACAATCTCAATCCGAGATCTGGAGCTAACTGAAGATGGGACTACTGTACCGGACTGTAGTACATTCGGTTACATAAGATTTGTGGTGAAGATTACTGTAACTTACTATGGAATGACTGTAGATATTCCGGATTACTGTGTTCCGAGTCGAGGCAGCCTTTAGTTAATAAATGGTTGATGATCTGGTTTACAGTTTAATCATTTTCTACCGGATTACTGTAGCTAATGTTTCCTCTAATAGAAGCCTATCTCAACCGTCAACTTTGAGCTCAATTATCTCGGTTCCTATAAGAGGTATCAAAAATGTGTCAACTGATAAAATGTCAATGATATTATGATACACAATTTTTTTTTGCTATATCTTTGACAGGAACCTAGATGATTAAGTTCGAAGTGAACGCATAGGGTGATATTCTATTAGAGCATTTACCGTATTCTAATACTTTCATAGAAGCTGCTTTTATGATTATTATCCCAATTTCCTCATTTTCCAGACTCGAAAAACGTCCCAACCCCACAGCCGTCTCCGATCTAATCGGCTCCCATGTCACCCGGATCGCCGCAGGAGCATGCCATACTATCGCCATCATCCGCGGATCTCCATATCCATTTGGACTGAATTCCAGTGGACAACTCGGAAACGGGAAGATTATGACTCAGTCGACACCACGGAAAACTGACGATTTGGATCATGTGACAGCGGTTTTTGCAGGATATCATCAGACTTTTTTCATCAGATCCGCAGGGTCTATTGAGGTAAACAAATTGAGTAAAACCTGTAATAGAAGGGCCTCCATACTGTCAAGTTAGAGCTCAATTATCTCGATTCCTATGAGAGTCATCCAAAATGGGTCAGCTGATAAAAATAAAATCGCGCCAAAGGCTCGGCAAACAGGCTGGTTATGTTATGCAATTTATCAGTTGACAACTTTTTTTATATCTTTGACAGGAAATTGGCTCCCAGCAAAAAGGTAGAGGGCCCTTCTATTGAAGGTATTCTAAACCTAAAAATGACCCTGCAATTTTTTTCAGCAAAACGAAATTGTGGGACCAAGCTGCCCAGTAAAAATGCCATCCAAAATCGATAGAGAGATCTTTGAAAAAGCACTGCGATCTGGAGAAAAGTTGGATTTGATGGCGTAAGCGACGTCTTCTAAAAGCACGTCATCTGATTTTTTCATTTTTCAGACTCGTCGAATCGGTGTTCTCCTCGTTGAGCAGTATCAACAACTCGTTCCTTTTCCAAGACGAACGGAGATTCAATGTGGGAATCGATCGATCGCATGGTATCGATTTGGATCAAGTCATGGAGACATTCATGCTTTTCGATGAGTTGGCTTCGAAGAAACTGTTCTCGGATTTGGTAAGGATTCGATTTCGGGTTTCTAGGCCCTTTTGAAGTGGTGGCCTTACTTTTGAAAATTGATTTTTCTTGGCCACTAAGTTTTTTGGCCTAGAAATGAGCGGATATTCACCTAGTACAGGGTGGGGAAAAAATATAGCGCCGCTTTCAAGACAGTGCAAAAAGATAAAATCAAAAGATTTTTTCTGAAGTTCAACCGAAATGTTCATTGAGAGACAACAAAAAAGATAGCATCAACAGTTTTTGAGCCTTCCTCCCTTTGCTTTGATAACAGCTCGAAGTCTCTTCAAGAAGGAGTCGACTACGGCACGGGGGTAGTTGATGTACAAATTGTCCCATGCCGCGGTCAAGGATCTATTTAGGGCTTCCAAATCAGGATAATTTTTTGTGGAAATTTATCGGGTCTAATATTTTCATAACAAAAAGTTCGTTGTAATGAGTACCGTACTGGAAGCTAGCCATCACTCTTTAGTGAGAAAATCCGGAAAATTGGCTTGGAACCACTGACCAGTGAGCTTTGCAGTATGTGCAGGCACTCCGTACTGTTAGAATGTCCAACTGCTGTTCAAAAGACGTGGCTGGGACTGTGGCAGCACCTCCGACTTCAAAATCCGCTCCGTGTAGAATTTTTGTCGGTCTTGGCTCCAAAATCGACAAAATTTTACCATTTCAGCACATCTCACCAAATACGGTCACCGTGACCGGGTGAGAAGTTATATTCAGGATTTTCAAACGTCAACATGCACTATAATAATTGATAGCCACTATTCAATTGTTCTGGCCGTTCTTGTTTACCTCAACAGTGAGCAACTTCATCTGTGAAAAACGGTCTTCAAGTGCGTGCCGAAGCGCGTGCCTCAAAGGAGATCTTTGGATTTTTTCAGTTGTAACCTTTCGTTACGGTCCGTTAGGAAAACACCTTTTTGGGTTCGATATGGAATCATATAGAGCTGGTTTTGGAGAATATTTCTCATTGATTTGGGGAACATTCTAAACTACGACGCCATTTTTTCATGATTCTTTCGTGACTTCTACTGATTTTCTCTCTCACGGCTTTGACGACTTCAGGAGTCGTTCCAAACATCAGATGACAGCTTTTTCTTATATCCTTGAAAGTTCCCAACTTTCTGAACCGAACGGATGTTTGATTGACCACTGATTTCCTGATACCAAGTTTTTTAGCGATCTCTAAAGTTCTCACCCCTTTTCCCGCGCTCCATACTAGGAGTATGGTGTGGATAAACAGTCACCATTACCTTCAAAGTTGGAATAATTGCCTGAAACTTTCAGAAATTGTTTAGAACGAAATAATGAAGCAAAAAAAATGTTACTGTGTGCAAAGCAGACCTTTTCGCAGGAGCCTAACTTTTTCCAAGTTGAGTTTTCTAGGCCACGAAGTTTTTTGGATTAGAAATGACTTGATATTCATGTGGTATGATTTTTATGCCTTTTTTACTTGGTGGCCTAACTTTTGCAAGTTAAGTTTTCTATGCCACCATGGTGAAAATGGCCTAGAAAACTCCACTTGTAAAAGTTAGGCCACGGTGTTAAAACGGCCTAGAAAACGTACCAGGTGCATATGTGATCATTTCTAGGACAAAAAAGTTGGTAGCCTAGAAAACTCATGTTGAGAAAGTTAGGCCATCAGGTCAAAATGGTCTATAAAACACTCTTGCAAGCTGACGCGCTAATTTTTTTGGATCTATGTTCGGTCGGCCGGCTGAATTACTCTACCAAATGCCAAAAAAGACCGATAATGGATCTCAATATTCAGATCGCTGACTCTCTATCCATTGCCTATGCTTCCTGGAATTCCAAAGTGTCCTGTGTCGAGGGTCTCCGCCTCTTCTTCATCCTTCCCTGGCTCCCAGTATTCACTGAAAATGTCACACTGGATACCATTTTCAAAGTACATACTCCATTCATTGAAGCATTGTATAGTGTCAGTGAGAGCATGCAGAAGACGTTGGGTGAGTTGAAGATTCTATTGAGTGCCCTTTTATTAGAGGGATTTCAGGAAACTGGTGGAGCAAACTCTCAACCCGTCACTTCCGTCGCCAGGTTATCGTGTATAAGCGAGCGGTTGAAACCATTCTTCGTGCTGGGAAAGGGCCAAGCAAGGCGAGACAATTCCTGTTGACGCTTCAGAGATTGTTCTTGATTAATCAGGTTTTTTTGAACTCTCTGGGTAATTGCTCATCCTTATTTTCCTCCAGAATTTCCACATCGTCCCTTTGGAGACATTCTATATAGAAGACCTCGGACAGATTCATAACATAAAATTGGAATATTACAACATGGTCACTAAACAACAGCCATTCAAAGATGAATCGGATTACTGGACGCATTATCCATTCCTGCTGAATGGAGCTGCCAAGGGTGAAGTTCTCTTTGTGGAGGCTGGATTGATTCAGGCGGTTAGTCCCAGGACCTAGGATCAGAATTAGAAAATTCAAAGTCGATTTTCGGGGATTACTGTAGTTTTAAAATGAAATTTTCAAAATTTTCAGAAAATCCAGAAAATTCTTTATTTTTCAAAGCTCGACGAATTTAAATCTGAGCTCCTGAAATTCAGAATTACAAAACTTTTCAAAAATGAGTCTTTGAAAATTCAAAAATTCCAAAATTCGAAGATTCGAAAATTCAGAATTTCAGAAAATCGGAAATTTAGAAATTAGAGAAAACCCAGAATTTTTGAGATTCTGAAATTCAAATATTCGAAAATTCTGAAATTCTGAAATTCAGAAATCTAAAAAATCAGAAATTCAAAAAATCTCGTATTCCAGATGCACGCCCAATCCGCCATGATTGCTTCTGGAGGCCTAATCGAAGGTGTCACAATGCAACACTGTGATCTAACTGTCCGTCGAGACTTCATCGTATCCGATACAATGCACAAATTGGCTGGATTCAGTGAAATCGATGTGAGAAAACCTCTAAAAGTGACGATCGTCGGAGAAGAAGCCGATGATGCAGGAGGTGTCCGGAAGGAGTTTTTCCTGATTGTGATGAGAAAAATCTTGCAACCAGAGTATGGAATGTTCACGGAGAATGAGGAGTCCAGATTGGTTTGGTTCAGTGGAATGCCTGCTGAATTTTGTGAAAGGGAACAGTTCAGACAGTTGGGAAGACTTGTGGGATTGGCTGTTTATAATAATGTCATTGTGCCGTTCCCGTTCCCATTGGCGCTGTATAAGGTGAGAAGCTACTATAAATTCAAAAATCCAAGAATCCTATGAATCAGAAAGCTCCGAATACTCATTTTGAATACCCATTTTGAAGCTCTCAACCTCTCAAATTCGACATTTTCAGCCTCAATTTCCATTTTACAGTACCTCCTGGACATTGAGCCAACACTCGAAGACCTCTGTGAGCTCTCACCCACCGAAGGACGTGGTCTTCAATCGCTTCTGGATTATGAAGAAGACGATGTTGAAGACGTCTTCTCTCTAACATTTTCCATCACTTTCAGCATTTTTGGAGAAATCAAAACTGTGGAATTGATACCCGGTGGAGATGAGAAACCAGTCACCAAAGAGAACCGAGAGGAATATGTGAAGGTAAGCATTTGGAGATTTATTGGTTTTAGAAATTAGGTTGAATTGCGCCGAAGGCGCGCCAGACAGCTGTTTGATTTCAAACTACTGAAAACCCTGTAATAGAAGAGCCCCCACAATGTCATGTTTGAGCTCCATTATCTCGGTTACTGTAAGATATATCGAAAATGTGTCAACTGACAAAACAGTCCTGATATTACGATAAAAATATTATCAGTTGATAGCTTTTCTACATCTTTGACAGGGACCGAGATAAGAGGGCCCTTCTAATAAAGGTTAAAAAAAAATCAATTCCACATTTAGCTCTACGTCTCGCATCGTCTGGAACTGGGATACAACAATGAGATTGCGAATCAAGCGAGAGAGTTCCGGCGTGGATTCTCGGATGCTCTGCATAGTCGAGTGCTGAAATTCTTCCAGCCAAGAGAGTTGAAGGAGCAAATTAGTGGAACCGAGAATTACGATTGGAATGAGTTTAGAGAAGTGCGTTGTATTTTTTTGAGATGGCCTAGAAAACCAAATTCTTGAAAAACTTGGTCATGGGTCCAGAAATTAGTTAGAACTTTGGGATACGCGAAATTCACCATTTCTCGGCCATTTTAACATAGTGGCCTAACTTTTGCAAGTTGAGTTTTCTAGGCCACCAACTTTTATTACCTAGAAACGGCTTGATATCCATCTGACGTGTTTTCTAGGTCTTTTAACATGGAGACCTAACTTTTGCAATTTGAGTTTTCTAGGCCACCATGTAGAAACAGCTTAGAAATAGTCTGCTATTCATCTGGTGTATTTTCTAGGTCATTTCTACATGATGGCCTAGAAAACTCAACTTGCAAAAGTTAGGCCACGATGTTAGAATGGCCTAAAACACACACCAGATGAATATCAGGCTATTTCTAGGACATTTAATATAGTGGCCTAGAAAATTTGATTTGCAAAAGTTAGGTCACCACGTGAAAATGGCCTAGAAGACGTACCAAATCAATATAGGGGCATTTCTAGGTCATTGACCATGGCGGCTGAGAAAACTCAACCTGTAAAAGTTAGGCCACCATTGTTCTTGCATGAAACCGGAGTGTGAGATTTTCGCATCGTTGCAGACACGATGACCTACAAACCAAATTCTTGGTAAACTAGGCCATCATCAAGCTTAGGTCCTAGGAACCCAAAAATTGGTCAGAGCCTTGGGAACCTCAAGATTGGCTACACTAGTCATCTTTGGCTGAAAAATCTGAACTAAAAAATGGTAACTAGGGGCCACCATCATCATCATGTTCTTCTATGTCGAAATTTTCGGAATTCTTTGGCTATTTTAGATCCCCAAACTTTCAATATTCCCATTTCCTTTAAAAAATCACTGCCCCCCACCGTACTGTGATTTCTGTGACGTCAGGTCTCTTTTTTCCTTTCTTTTCTTTACCCTTGGCTCCAAATGCTCCCCTCACAAACGCACTCGATTTCTCTCTACGGACGGAAAGCACCTGAAGAAAGAATGAAAAAACACAAAACATTTTTCCTCTGGTAAACAATCATTCGGAAGCATTTTCTCTCTTTCTCTCCGAAAATTAATGACGTGGCTCATTTTTGGAGCCACCTGGAGAAGAGGAATCCGGTTTCTTGAGCAAATGCGGAAGAATGCTCAGCAGTCAGGCGGAAGACATAGTACGGTAGCATGAGGAAAATGACGTGGAATGCTCAGAAATTACGTGGAGAATGAGTCAGAAAGTTCTGGAAACTAAAAACTTTTGGGTATTTTCGGAATGAGGGCGTTGACAGTTATTTCCGGAATCTGTAATTTTCGGAATTCTTTTTAATTTCTGAGATTCTGAGATTTCGAGATGCTGGGATTCTGAGATTCTGAGATTCCGAAATTCGAAAATTCCGAGATTCTGAATTTCTAAGATTCTGTGGTTTTGAGATTCTAAGATTCGGAGAATCTGAAATTTCGAGATTTTGAGATTCTGAGATTCTGAGATTTCGAGATTCTGAGATTCTAAAATCCTAAGATTCTGGAATTCTGAATTTTTCAAGTTCCGAAGGTTCTAATTTTTAAAATTCTGAGAATTCTAACATTCTGAAGTTCCCGATCCCTCACTTTCCTCATTTTTCTCCGAAATTTCTTTCTCCTCTATATAATTGCTCTACACCATCCAAACATAAATTTGAAGTGTGTATGGAATCATGCGTTTTCGTTCTGTGTGTCGACACGACGGTAATCCACTTTTTCCACTCACTCTCTCTCTGCGTCTCTCTCATTTCCCCATACTCTCTCACCCGATTTCTAACCGTCTGTGTCTCTGGGCTCTCGAATCGTGAGGACAACGAAAATGCGATGATCATGTGTTCGGTGTCCAGGTAATGGACAGTCTAAACATAACATTTGGCAAAACTTTTTTTTCGGGTTTCTCTAGATCCCATCGAATCACACACAATTTCTTGATGGAGTAGAAAAACACGAAAAAAAGGAGTGGCGACGATGGAATTGAAAATTGACTCTGACCACATTGAGAGAGAAAGAGAAAGAGAAAGAGAAAGAGAGAGAGAAAGAGAGAGAGAGAGGAAATCCGGTTTTTTTCCAGAAAAAAAATGAAATGAATTGAGTTATGAATGACCACACCCAATTTCGATAAGAAATGAGAATTGAGAATTGAGCGTAAATGGAAAAGTTGGACATCTGGACATCCGGATTGGCAGACAGGCTGAAATTTAAAGTTATACATTTTAGGCCCAGAATTTCCCTAGTTTGGGGTTTAGGTTTCAAAGTGTAATATGAAAGTTTTAAGAAAAATTGGACATCCGGACATCCAGACAACCGGACAGACGTTCTCATCCTTGAAAATTCTACACAACGCGTTTTTAAAGCTCTCAATACTACCGTATTCTCTCTAATATAAGCCCATCCAATCGGTCAATTTGTGTTCAATTATCTCAATTCGTGTCAAAGATATAAAAAATTGTCAACTGATAAAAGATAGCTGATAAAATGAGAATCATTTTCTCAGATGACAAAATTTTCATATCTTTCACAGTAATCGAGATAATTGAGCTCAAAGTTGACAGTTTTGGTGGGCTTCTATTAGAGAAATACAGTAATTTGAGGGGTTTCCATTGTTTCATGGGATTTTTGTTGCGGCCGGTGTATAAAAACCAACCAAAAATTTATTTCTAAAAGTAGACTGCAAAGGTTTGAAACCCCAAAAAAAAAAGAAAATCCAACAGTTAAATACCGAGTTCCAATATAAAAACATGTCCAGAGCTGAAACAAGCGATTTTCTAACAAAAACTTTCAATTGCTCAGGAATTTTTGAAACTGTAAACATTTTCTTTTTTCTGTACAGGTCTAGAATTTTAGAGTTCCAAAGCGGATCCTGCCCATTTCTCCCTAAAATTCTGCTAAAAACTACCGTAACTGCTCTAGTAGTACGCCAACCAGGCCGTCAAATTTGAGCTCAATTATCTCGGTCCCAATGAGAGATATAAAACATGTGTCAAGTGATCTTTCACAGGAATCGAGATAATTGAGCTCAAAGTTGATGGCTTGGGTGGGCTTCTCTCAGAGGAGGTTAAATTTTGAGCCCAATTATCTCGATGCCTGTGAAAGATTTCGAAAAGTTGTCAACTGGTAAATTGCTTATCATAATATTCCCAATGTTTTATCAGTTGACGCATTTTTGATACCTTTTACAGTAACCGAGATGATTGAGCTTGAAGTCGACGTATTTGCTCTAATAGGAGCCCAACCTATACTAACATTTTTAGCTCAATTGTCTAGCTCCCTATGAGAGATATCAAAAATCTGTTGACTGATAAAACATTTCTGATAAAATGACAAATAATTTTTCAGTTGACACATTTTTAATATCTTTCATAGAAATTGAGATAATTGAGCTCAAGATTGTTGGTTTGAATAGGCGTCTATTAGAGGGAAAACGGTAACTGAGAAATTCTAAAAATTTACAGAAAAAATGAAACAACAAATGGTCCAAAACTCTCAAATTCAAATTTTGCAGCTGGTGACCTACAAAGGCGAATACACGGCTTCCCACCCGGCAGTCAAGACCTTCTGGAAGGCCTTCTTCGCTTTGGACGAAGACGAAAAGAAGAAATTCCTTCAATTTTTGAGTGGATCCACCCGGATTCCAGTTGGAGGAATGAAGGACTTGCATCCGTTCATCCAACCGACAGCTCCAGAAGTGAGTAGATAATGGATTCTGAATCTCTTAACGTCATCTGAATCGTTTTAGACTCTCCCCGTCGCCCATACATGCTTCAATCTTCTGGACCTCCCCAACATCTCAGATGACGTGGAAATGCTCCGACGTCTTCGGATCTCGATTGAGCACACTGAGGGATTCACACTTGTTTAAATATTCGGATTTTATAATTTTTTTGTAAATTGTTTCCTATTTTTACTCGGTCACACACTTCTTTTTTTTGTATTTTCCGGAGACTCTTTGTGTTATCTCTGTGATAATTAGTGATTCGTTTTGATTAATTGATTATTTTCAGCTTTTTGTCTATAAATGTATAATGCGTCTCGATTTGTTTTTTTTTCTTTTTTTTTTTTGGCTGAAAATGGTGATTTTCCAGTGGTTTTATTGATTTTTTTTGGTTTGGAAATTTCAGGTAAAAATAGGTTTTCAGAGGGACGGATGACGTCAAAATTTCTGGTGGTCCTCAAACCGGAAATTGTGGCGCATCGAGTTTTGGCACAGGTAAGATTTTTGAGGGGGTTTAAAGGATTTTTTGAATTCCCGCCAGAACTACAAGGTTTTCTACAGTAATCTTCCGGTCAAGAAAACCCAATTTTCAGACAAAGATTTGAAAAAAATCAAAAAGGAATCTTTAAAAATGGCTGAAAAACCTAAAAAGGTCTAAAATTTTGCAAACCATCGGAGAAAAAATCAATTTTTCTCTCGAAAAAAAGTGTTCAAAAATCTACAGTTCCATTCAATTCGCTGAAAAAGTTTCAATTTTAGAAAATTGTTGCGGTCGGTGTATAAAACCCAAAAATTTATTTCTAAAAGTAGACTGCAAAAGTTTGAAAACCCCAAAAACGGAAATTTTTCAGAACCAACTTTCAATTTTCAAAAACTCATTATCGTATGGCAAGATTAATATTCAAACAAAAAGCTTTCGGATTTTGTGAAAACTTTGAAACTGTAAATATTTGCTTTTTTTACTGTAGAGATCTAGAATTTTAGAGTTCCAGAGTTTATGAGATAGTTTAAAATAGCCTAATAAGTTCCAAGCTCGTCGAATTTCCGCTCAAAGCTTTGCTGAAAACTACCGTAAATGCTTTAAAGGTGGGGGGACATGAAAAAAAATAATGTTCTCGAAGTTCCGTTCAATAATGCCTCTCGAGGAGTTGAACTTGTGAGGGCGATGATTGAGGGGGTCGGCGCCGCTATCGACTGAGCCACGCGAACAAAGAGAAAGCGCACGCCCGTTTGCATACATAAAGGCGAGGACGACAGCTGTACGCAGAGTGACATTAAGCGTTGTACACCGTGACGGTAGAATGCATACTCTAGCTGCAAAAAAACTACGAAAAATCTCCTGTCCCCCCACCTTTAATAGAACGCCACCCAGACCGTCAACTTTGAGCTCAATTATCTCGGTTTCTGTAAAAGATATTTGAATTTTGTCAACTGATGAAATGATCATTCAATTAGGTTTCATGTAAACTTTGTTACCAAACCCTTTCTATCCTCCAAATTTCCAGGTGGCCCTCTCGGAACTGCGAAAAAATGGCATCGAAATCGAGGAGATGCGTCAACTGAGAATCACGAATTCGCTTGCCAAAAGTCTGTATAAACAACACGAAGGCAAATTTTTCTATGATCGATTAGTGAGACATATTTCAAGTGGAGATGTGATAGCAATGCGAGTCAATGGAAATGCTCGAAAATGCATTGGATCCAGTCGGCTATGGCCACGAATCGATCCATCCGATCAACCGATTCGACAGAAATTTGCACTTTCCGATGTTAGAAATGTTGCACATGCAAGTGATGAGGATGCGGCGATGGAGGAGTTGGAATTGTTTCGATTGGCTTGATTCTTTTTTTTTTTAAATGTCTATTTTTATGTCTTTTATGAGAGATTCAGATGATTAGAGTAATTGATCGGTGTGAATTGAACTGACTAAATGATGATTTTCAAAGAGTTGAAACTCCGCCGATTATTTTTCACAGAAAAAGAGAAGATTTTGAATCCTGATTGTGAGAGAATTTCGAATATTTCTACCAATAGAAGCTCACCCAAATCGCCAACTTTGAGCGTAATTATCTCGTTTCCTGTGAAAGATATCAAAAAGTTGCCAACCGATAAAACTCCGTCGATTATAGTTTGAGAAAAATTGAATTCTTTAAAAGCATAATGAAACGGGAAATTTAAAAAAAATCAATGCATAACCTAGAAAAGATATTGATAGGGCGAAACAAAAGAAAGATTGGAGACTGAAGCAATCTAGAATAGCGTATTTCCACTAATAGAAGCTTACCCAAGTTGTCAACTTTGAGCTTAATTATCTCGATTACTGGGAGAGATATCAAAATTTTGTCAACTGATAAAATACTGATGATATTATGATAAAAAATTTATCAGTTGACAAAATTTTGATAGTTTTAACAGGAATCGAGATAATTGAGCTCAAAGTTGACAGTTTTGGTGGGCTTCTATTAGAGAAATACAGTAATTTGAGGGGTTTCCATTGTTTCATGGGATTTTTGTTGCGACCGGTATATAAAAACCAACCAACAATTTATTTCTAAAAGTAGATTGCAAAGGTTTGAAACCCCAAAAAAAGAAAATCCAACAGTTAAATACCGAGTTCCAATATAAAAACATGTCCAAAGCTGGAACAACCAATTTTCAAACAAAAACTTTGAATTTTTTCAGAAATTTTTGAAACTGTAAATATTTTGTTTTTTTTCTCTACAGATCTAGAATTTTAGAGTTCCAGACCGAATTCTGCCAATTTCTGCCTAAAATTCTGCTAAAAACTACCGTAACGGCTCTAGTAGAACGCCACCCAGGCCGTCAACTTTGAGCTCAATTATCTCGGTTCCCATGAGAGATATAAAAAATGTGTCAAGAGATAAAATATTGGTGATACTATGATCCATAACTTATCAGTTGACCACTTTTTGTTATCTCTCATAGTAGCCGAGATAATTGAGCTCAAAGTGCACTTATAGGGGCCTTCTATTAAAGCATTTGCCGCCCAATCAATTCCTGTCAAAGATATTGAAAATCTGTCAACTGATAAATTGTTTATCATTATAAAAATATCATTTTATCAACTGACAAGTTTTTGATATTTTTTGACTAATAAAGTGTGCTACTGTTAGAGCTAATACGGTATACGATAGAATACGGTACAGTAGAATACGGTAGAATCCAGAATCCCAGAGCTTTTATAAGCTAATTTAACCTAGAAAGTTCTACATCGTTCGAATTTTGATCAAAATTCCGAAAACCATATGGTCCCTAATCTTTTATAAATAACTTTCCCTTCAAAAATCATTTCAATCCCTTTCTCCCTCCTCTTTCCATTTGCCCATCCGTTCTTTTTGTCACTTTCACTTCTTCATCTAAATTCCGAAACTTTTGTATGGCGTGTGTCCATTGTCTTCTTCTTCTCCTCCTCTTCAACCCATCACAATTTTATTTCAAATATAGCGCCGTCGATGCGAATCAGTGCGTTTCGTTGCATATCGGACGGAACACACAGGGAGAAGCCTCGTTCGGATTAAACATGAAGTTTTGCGAAAAAGAGAAAACGAGGTCAAGCTGATCGGAGAGGGGACCATGGAATATAGGTCAAATGGAAGTGCCTGCATCGGCGGCGGCGGATTCTCCCTTTCACTCACTCAAATCAAACACTTTCACTTTTCACTTTGAAACTGGATTCCTTTAGCCCTCTCTCCTTTCTCCGATATATAATAAAAGACCCTCCTTTAGCCCCCCCCCCCCCCCCTAGCCGAAATAGCCTCTTCATTTAATTTGATTAATTATGTTTTTGTAAAGAAAATTGAGAATAGTTAATTGATTAATTAGGCTGCTGGAGAAAAGGAGATAAGGAGATAAGGAATGGTCATTAGTCAAGACGAGATTTCGATCAGTTGGGAAGTGATGGAAGTTTTGAAATTGATGGATTACGATAGATTTTGGTATTTTGCGGTTTTCAAGGTTTGGAGGATGTCAGTATGAAAAGTTACAGTAGTGGGAGGCTACTGTAACTAACGGTAAATGCATAAACCGTATTTCCTCTGATAGAGAAAAATGTACTGTTTCAAAACTTGCGTTCAAAATTTTGAAAACTTGAAAAGTTTGATTCTATTTTAGCTCTGGACGACAGTAATTCTTCCAATAGAAGCGTATCCAACCGTTCAATTTTGAGCTCAATTTTCAAATTTTTGTCAACTAATAAGTTATTAATCATGATATCACCAATATTTTATCAGTTGACAGATTTTTGATATCTTTCATAGAAACCGAGATAATTGAGCTCAAAGTTGACGGGTTTGGGTGGACTTCAATTAGAGAAAATACGTGCAAATTAAGGTACAAGGGGGTTGGGCTTCTGTCGGGAGATTGAGATTACTGTAGTTTACTATTGAATTACAGTGAATTTTCTGGATTACTGTATTCAGGGTCACTTGTAATTGATGCCTGATTTTTTCGAAAATGGAATACTAGCAGTACAGAAACAATATAATCTTCCGGGTTACTGTAGCTTGAAATCCAGATTTCTTAACATAAAATTTGAAAAGTTGTTTCAAGAATCAAAAATTGGTGGGCTGTTGAGATTACTGTAGTTTTTTACTAGATTACTGTAGGCTAGGAGTTTTCCGGATTATTCACCGTCGACTCGTAGTTCATACCTGGTTGATGATGCGGATTACTGTTGAATGATTTTTCTCCTGGATTACTGTATTAGGTTAATAGAAATGGATTACGGCTACCAGTAAAGGAACAATATGATCTTCCGGTTACTGTAGCTTGAAGTTGAGCTTCCCAAACAAAATAATTAAGAGAAATTTTTACGGTTTCCGCATTTCGAAATATAATTTGAAATTCTTTATGATCAGTCAATCGAATTTTTGCTTACAATTCATGTAAACTTTGTTACCAAACCCTTTCTATCCTCCAAATTTCCAGGTGGCCCTCTCGGAACTGCGAAAAAATGGCATCGAAATCGAGGAGATGCGTCAACTGAGAATCACGAATTCGCTTGCCAAAAGTCTGTATAAACAACACGAAGGCAAATTTTTCTATGATCGATTAGTGAGACATATTTCAAGTGGAGATGTGATAGCAATGCGAGTCAATGGAAATGCTCGAAAATGCATTGGATCCAGTCGGCTATGGCCACGAATCGATCCATCCGATCAACCGATTCGACAGAAATTTGCACTTTCCGATGTTAGAAATGTTGCACATGCAAGTGATGAGGATGCGGCGATGGAGGAGTTGGAATTGTTTCGATTGGCTTGATTCTTTTTTTTTTTTTAATGTCTATTTTTATGTCTTTTATGAGAGATTCAGATGATTAGAGTAATTGATCGGTGTGAATTGAACTGACTAAATGATGATTTTCAAAGAGTTGAAACTCCGCCGATTATTTTTCACAGAAAAAGAGAAGATTTTGAATCCTGATTGTGAGAGAATTTCGAATATTTCTACCAATAGAAGCTCACCCAAATCGCCAACTTTGAGCGTAATTATCTCGTTTCCTGTGAAAGATATCAAAAAGTTGCCAACCGATAAAATATTTATCAAAGTTTCAACAATATTTTATTAGTTAACAAATTTCTGATATCTTTTACAGTAACCGAGATAATTGAGCTCAAAATTTACGGTCTGGGTGGCGTTCTATTAAAGCATTTACGGTAGTTTTCAGCAAAACTTTGAGCGGAAATTCGACGAGCTTGGAACATTTTAGGCTATTTTAAACTATCTCATAAACTCTGGAACTCTAAAAATCTAGATCTCTACAGTAAAAAAAGCAAATATTTACAGTTTCAAAGTTTTCACAAAATCCGAAAGCTTTTTGTTTGAATATTAATCCTATCAGAGGACATGCTGTAGTTTGAGAGGTTTTCATTGCTTTTTGAAGTTTCTTGGCATTTTTATTTGTAAACATTTTTCTTATACTTCAAGAAAATTTTTTTTTGAATTGTGAAAAAATAATTCTGTTTTAGAGAAATCAAAGTTTTACGTTTTCGGAAAACATTCAGATTGAGAGCGATTTCGAAAAATTCAACTGTTTTAAAACAAAATTCAGAAATCGTAATTTTTTTTTAAATTTCAGAGTGTACACCGACTTGAAAAATGACCTGATTTTAAGCATTTCGGAATCACAAAAATTTAGAAAAAATTAGTTACTTTTTGAATTTTAAATTTCGACAAAAATTAATTTTTTAAAGAACAAATTTCAAGGTTTTGAATTCACTAAATCATGTAAACTACAATTTTTAGAATTCAATGTTTTTAACTTAATTCTGAAACCGCAAATTTTTTCAAAGTTTAAAGCTTTGAGTTTTTACAATTTTTCGAAAATTCGAAACCTTAGATATTAAATTCGAAACCTTAGATATTTAAAAAAAATCAAATTTTCGAAGTAACTGTCTATTAAAACTTCAAAATATTTTGACAGAAATTCCTTTATTTGAAAATTCAAGTTTAAATTTTTTAAACATTGAAAGTGATTTTGAAAAAATCCAACTGTTTTAAATCTAAATACTGAAATTGTAAAACTTTCAAAATTATAATTCAATATGTTTTTACAAATTTCATAGTGTTCCGACTTGAAAAAAAGCTAACTTAAGATTTCTCGAAATTCTGAAATTCAATTTTCATTTTATTTTTTTTTCTGTTTCAGATTTTTCAGAAACATGTTCTGAAAACTTTGAAATTTGATTCTTTCTTCCTGTTGTTTGATCTAAATTATTTCAATTTTTATTGAAAATTTTCAATTTTTTGTCCAGTTTTTCAGAATATAGTACAGAAAAGCCGAAAAAGAGAAAAAAGTGAACTGGGGTGGAATTGGAAATTTAGGAGATAATAAAAAGAAAAATCAGAAATTGAATGGGAAAAATGCGAGGTATTTTTAGGGGGATTTTTGGGGAAGAAATGGGAGTTTAAAATGTTGGGAAATCACAAAAATCTATCACATTTATGTTTTTGAAAGATTTCATTATGGTAACTCGTGCTGAATACTATTGAAGAGGAAGTTTTATTAATTTTTACAAAGTTTTCTATTTTTGAGAGAAACAAAAAAAATAATTAAAATCGGGAGGTAATCGGAAGATGTACTTCGGAAAGTTGAGGGGATTGTGGAGAAAAGAGAAAAACGTGGAGATTTTAAGAAGACGTGGGAAGAATAGGCTAGAAACGGCTAGGGAGGGGGAGGAAGATTACTGTAGATGATAAATGAGAAAGCGAAAGAGATCAAAATGAAGTGAAAGACTGAATGTGAGGAAGTAGGAGAGAAACTAATGGAATTAAAAAGAAGGGAAGAAACCTAAAAAGGTTATGAATTCGAATACGCATTCTGATTCGTGGGTGCCACTTCGATCAACGTGGCAGCTGTTGAACCATCTGAAGCATGTTCCACGTCGATTATGAAGGTGTCCTCGTTGCAATACAAACGGAGCATTTCGTCATCCACTTTTACGGTTATCCCTTTCGCGCAACGCTTGTAGACACCGGACATCTGGAAATTGGAAAATATAGATCTTGGTTTTTGAGACATCTTCATATTTTCATTAAAGTAATTAAGTTTCTATTGCTTTAACTTTGTTGAAAATGAACCATCAAAATTGCTTGTTTTCGATCAAAAAATATTGCAATTTTACTAGAAAGTTTTAAACAATTTAATACAAAAAATTTCGGTTTCAGAACTTTTGTGAATTTCTTTTTTAAATTGTTTTGAATTCAATTCTTCCCTTCCTGCGCTTTGTCAAGTTCTCGCTTTGTCCAATTCTCGGAAAAATTCGAAATGCTATCAACATTTTTTGCACTGAAAAATACTGAAAATCAGTTGTCAAAGAAAAAATTACAGTTTTTCAGAACATTTGTAAATGTTCAGTACTTTTAGTTCTCAGTGTTCTCTCCCTTCCAGTTTATCCCCAAAAAACATATTCTTCGGAAAGTTAAAAATGTTCAAAAAACATTTTTTTTTCAGATTTATGTTTTCAGAATTCATGATCGAAGTTTGAAAGCTCTAGGAAAGAAAAATTGATTCTGAAAAAAGTTCTGTTTCAAAAACTGCATTTAAAATTTGGAAACATGAAAAGTTTGATTTTCACTTTTTTAATAGGTGTAGAACATCGTTGAAAACGATTTAAAATTAGTGACTTTGCATTACAAAATAATGCAATTCCACTATAAAATGTTCAAAAAATTAACAAATGAAAGCAAAATTTAGAAAATTAGCTGTCCAAAAAGTTTCAGTTTCAGAACTTTTGTAAATTTCATAACAATCGTTTGAAATTCAGTTCTTCTGTGATCCATGTCGAAAAATCATATTCTTTGGCAAATTGAAACTTTTCATGCAAAAATTTTTAAAAATTTTGCTTTTTTTCGAATTTCTAGGCAAGAGCTTCTGAAAATAATTGTGTTTCAACAATTGCATTTAAATTTTTGGAAAACTTGAAAAGTTTGATTTCAATAATTTCCATCGTCGTTAAAAATGAAACAAAAATGATGGCTTTTCATCAGAAAATAATGCAATTTTGGTATGAAATGTTCAAAAATTAACAACTGAAAGCAAAAATTAGAAAATTAGCTGTCACTAATTTTTCGGCTTCCGATCTTTTGTAAAACTCATACATTTCTTTGATTCAGTATTCTCTGTCATCTCTTTCTCAAAAACCATATTCTATGAAAATTAGAAATGTTCCAGCAATATTTTTCGCATTGAAAAACACAAAATTAACTATCAACGAAACAAGAATTACAGTTTCAGAACTATTGTGAATGTTTTCCAAATTTTTGAAAATCAATTCTCTTCTGCCAATAATGAATTCTCAAAAATCATATTCTTTGAAAAATTTAAAGTTACAAAGAACATTTTCTCAGATTTTTGTTTTCAAAAATTGTGATCGAAATTTCTAGGCTAGAAAAATGGTTCTGAAAGAAAAAAGTTCTCTGTCTTCAAATTGAGTTTAAAGATTTGAAAACTTGAAAGGTTTGACCTCATCTCAAAAAAGTTTATTACATTTTATTACAAAAAATTAACGATATAAAAGCAAGCCTCTGAAAATTTGGTGTCGACAAAAATATTACAGTTTCAGAACTTTTATAATTTTTAAAGTAAATTTTCAGTAACGATTCATGCAAATTTTGAAACAGATCGTTTTTCAAACACGTTTTCCACTAAATTTATTCCTATCATTTTTCTAATCATGAGCCATCAAAAAAAAATGTTCCGATCCCTCAATTTTCCCAATGATCTCTCTTTTTTTTTCCTCTCCCTCCTAATCCCATTTATGTACACAAAACAAAGCTTTTTCCATCTTGCTAAGAACTGTTCTATTTTCTCTCCATCCAATTTCTATTCTCGTCTCTTTTTTCTTTTCTCTCAAAGAAAATATACTCAAATTTCGGAAAAACCAAGAGACGAGAGACCCAAAATTAGTACGCCGATCGGCGAGAGACGCCAGAGAAAAAGAGTGGGGTCATTGAAAAATGTTCGCCCTGACACCAAAAACACACACACAACGGAGGAGACGACCTATTCTTAGCATTTTGAGTGACCTCACGGTATGTGCTCGCCGAGCAAAAAGAACTCCGATTCATTGACCTCATTCTATGTGTCTGCGTATCTTGATCTCTAATAAGAATGATGAGAGAAATGCACTTTTTGAGGTTTTTGAAGAGGAGAAGAGCACCCGAAATAAACCACTAAACCAATATTTAAAACTCTTTGGGTGGTCAAAAGTGCACACAAGGCGTCTGGGAAAACAGAAAGTTTGGGAATCAAAAATTTGGCGAACGCACCTTGTTCCATTAGGTTAATTGGAAATAAAGCTCAATATATGAAATGCATGAAACAAAAAAAAGTTTCAGAAAAGTTTGCAGTTTCAGCACTATTTGAAATTTTAAGAAAAATTTTTAATGTTCAATCCATGCTTCCTAAAGAAATCAAAATAACAAACCTTATCCGGGTCGGCTCCAAACTTGTTAGCGATCGCTAGCGCTAAGCCGGCAAGTGATGAGGGTACGACATGGAGGGGTTGGTAGATTTGTTCGTCCCGTTTTCGGACGTAGAGCATTACTGAAAAATGAGAATTGATTACATTTTATTCGGAATAGAGCACATTCGCAATTCTGACAGGTTTCGAGAAAATTCGCTCTACCGAACTATGTATTCTGCACTATACTGGAGTAGTTGTACAGTAACTAGTTCAATAGAGCTCTAGTTGACTAGAACAGTGGAGCGTATTTGCAACAAAAAGCCTACTATTACGATTCGGAGAGTCCTATGGGGCGCATTTGCTTCATAAATTGGTTCTCTTGCATTTTAGACCGCCGAGCAATGGGATTTAGTAGAGCGCACTTGCACAGACATATTTTTCAAAATTAGTAAAGAAGTTCATACTAATGATGCAAATACGCTCTACTGAACTAACCCGGTAGAGCGAATTTGCAACAAAGTCACGTGGAGCGTTTTTGCGTCATTCGTTTCTTTTTGCATTTTCAGACTATTGAACGATAACTAGAGCGCATTTGCGCAAACTAAAATCATTAAACTTGACACTAATGAGCAATTACGCTCTAATACAATTCCATAATAAAACTCACTCCTCTCTGAAGTCCTGGGCCTCTTTGCAATCGGTTCGATTTCAGACATATCAAAACTCAGACTCGTACTATCCACATATCGATTATCGAATTCTTCAGGAGCAATGAAAAGTGCAGCTGGCTTATCTAACTCTCTCATATGATAGAATTCACTTCGTTCACATTGCTCATGATATTCTCCATCGGATTTCTTTCGACCGCCACCTGATAACGCTCCTGCTGATTGGAACTCTGAAATTTCTGAAAATGTTTAAAGATGGACTTGAAGGATTACGGTAGAAAGCGTTAGGACATGAAACATGAAGTAAGTTACATGAAACATGGAGTAAGTGTGCTTCACTGGACTAAGTCCAGTAGAGCAAACTTTCACATATAAGGTTAGATATCAAATAGATTACCTTGCAACCTTCGCTTCTCGTCTCGCCGGTTTTCGTGCAACATTTTTCGATTAGCTCCCTATAAAAAGACACGTGGACACATGAAGATTACGGTAAGGATTACGGTAGGACACTGACAAGAAAACGACACGACGAAGAAAAACAAACACGGACTTTTTGAGATACTCTGTTAGAAAATTGACTGAAACTACAGTATACGACACAATGTGTATAAAAAGAGAACATATAGAAAGATAGAGAAGGAAGGATTACTGTACCTTGAACTTTTCGTTTCGCCGCTCGTTTGTCTTCGTCGCGAAGTTTTCGCTCAGCGCCCTAATTTTATGCAAAATTTAGAATTATCTTTTTGAAATTTTTTTTCGAAAATCTCAAAATTTCGGGAAAAAAACTCACTTTATCACAGAAAACCTTAATTTGACAGTAACCCCTGTGGAATGGGGTTTTGTCATTGTCCCCGTCATAAGTATCGATTTGTACGTGCAGCGGAAGACCCTTTACACCTTTTTGTGTTGAAAAATCTGTGGAGAGACATTGGACGGCAATGGAAATCTGAAAAATTGGGGGAAATATTGTGGGGAAAGAAGAGGGTGCAGAAAGTTAGAACGTCTCGTTGTCGGCGTCTCTTCAGCTCCGTCCGCGTTAGATAGCGTCAGAGAGTGTGGACGGGGCAAGAGACACAGACAGCTAGGGATTTTAACTTGATTTTTTGAGGGTTTTCTCAATGTTTCTTTTGTATTTTCAGCACAAAAATTAAAAATTTCAGCTACTTAAAAAAAAAGATGAAACCCAATTTTCTCGATCTCAAAAGTTCAAATTATGCAAATATTATAATCATAATACAAAACTTTACAATTTTTTATTTTTCAGATTTTTGAAACTGAAAAAGTTTTATGTTTTTAAATTTTGAAGAACTTCGAATTCTTTTATTTTTAAAGAATTCCGAAATTTCGAAAATTTGAAGTTTCGAATTTCTAAATTTTTGAATTCTTAGATTTTCGAAAATTCACAAATATCACTGGTACATGAACAGAATACAACACATCTACAATGAACAGAATACAAAAATTCAAAGCTTGATTTATAAACTTTGTGAATCGGAGTTTTTTGAATTTAAAATTTGAAGAACATTTTTAATTTTCAAAAATTATGAAAATTTGAAAATTTCATAATTTTTTTTCAAAAAAAACCATGAAAAACTCGAAATTTCCGGTTGTTGGTACGGGTCAATTATCATAAGCCACAATTAACTTTTGAAGACACTTTTTTGAAACAGTAGATTTTTTCGAAATTCAAAACTTAAAACATACCTTGACTCCCCCACTCTGATCCGACGGATTCCAATAAAACTGAACTGCATTATTTCCAATCTCCTCGATTTGTCCAATCATTCCCGAACTATTTTTGCTATCAACTTCCAGAATTCTCTGCTTGGAGACGTGCTGACGAGCATGCCATGATTGCCACGTTTTGATCTCCTCTTCATACGTTTTGTCTTCTCGAAACACGACCATCAGTTGACTCTGAAAATTTTGATTTTTAATATTTTTCCCGCCAAATTACAAATACTTACCTTCACTGTCTGACTCTTCAAACATTTGCTAATATCCGGAATATAATCCAAGGATACTGTATAGAACTGTCCCTTATTCACATATGTCATTCGATCATCATCCCGACGTACTGATGTTGAAATTGGAGCTTCTAGGACGTATTGAAATCCCAAATTGTTGTGACTGAAAAAATTTAAAATATTATTAAATTCGAATTTTCTCATCAACTTTCTAACCTTCCAACTTTGAGCCCATATATCTCTGTTCTTGTGCAATATATCAAAAATGGGTCAACTGATAAAATGTTTGTGATTTTATAATAAACACTTTATTAGTTGACAACTTTTTTGTATCTTTGACAAGAAGCAAGATATATTGGCTCTAAGTTTACAGTAGCTAACCATTAAACTTTCATGATCTCTTAGTGAAAGTTTAATATCTCTTTTTAATAGACATATAAAAAAGTTCGAGGGGAAAGTTTTTATGTAATTGGGTGGTAATAGTTTGGGGGTGTATATCCAATTTGCCACTACGTCATAAAAATTATAAGGTTCGGTGGCAAAAAATGGGGATAATGGCCATCCGGAATGGCGGCTGGATTCTTCGTTGGAAAATTCATGTGGCCGGTGTTTTTAAGATGCTAGCGAAAATTGAAGTTGCAGAGAAGCAATAAGGGTTTTTGAAAGTGTAATTTTATTTAGAAATTGATTTTCAGTACTTTCATCTAAACCAAAGCTGATTAGAATTAAAAATAATTTTTAACTGAAATTAGATTTTTGAAACAGAAATATTGAAAATGTAAGAAATTACAGTAGCTACAACACGAAGTAAAAGAAGAGTCCTCAAGTTTGAACTCAATTATATCTATTCCTGCGCAAAATGTCAAAAATTGGTCAACTGATAAAACACTTCTGATATTATGATGAACGTTTTAGAAGTTGTCACATTTTTGATATATCTAATAGAAATTGGGATAATTGAGCTCATACTAGTCAGTGTGGGTGCCCTTCTGTTACAGGTTTCACAGTAGTACAATCCCATTGAAACATTTTCATTAGCAAAATTTTTGAACTACTTTTTTACTTTCCAAGGCATGTGAAATTTGGTGAACCGAGAAACTAAAAAATCACATATTCTTAATTTTCAGCGAAACATAACATTTTTGGAAACAAATCAAATAACTAAAAAATAACAAATTTTCTGAAATGTCTTGTATCACAAAGAAAAAAGAAAAGACAGCCGTCACATCAACATCCACAAGTATTTTGGAAGATTTACTTTTTTTGTGAAACAGAATTTAAATTTTTTTTCTGGTGCAATGAGAATTTAATTGCTTTTTGAATAAGCGAAACCCGAGAATTCCCGAATTCAATCTTTCTAATTTAAAAAATTAAGATGCCGCTAACTTTTAACTTTGAGCGAATTTATCTTGCTTCCTGTTAAAGATATTAAAAATTTGTTTACTAATAAATAGTTTATCATACTATCACGAACATTTTATCAGTTCATACTTTTTTGATATCTTGCACAGGAATCGAGATATATGAGTTCAAACTTGACGGGCTGGAGATTCTTCTATTACAGGTTTTACGGCAGTTCCCCACAAATCAGAATTTTTCCAAAACAAAAAAAAACTCACATTTTCGGAATAATAAGTGGAGAATCTCTATGACTCAACGTCCTTTCACTACTCCTTTCCAACATATTACTCCCATCGGAACTCGTGAAAAACTCTTCTTTCGGATTCGCCAACAAACTAATATCCTGTCCAATCCCAGAATCAACGGGGGACGGCATATCAGTTCCTTTGAATACAATTCGCTCATTTTCAGATATTTGTTGATATTGTTGACTCGTCGAACTTCTCTGATAAGCAACATTTTGATAAGAAACTGATGTATCCATCTGGCGTCCCCAATCTTGTGGTTGCTGGATGTTATTTGATAAAACATTCGTGTAATAAAAATTGGGAGCAGTTTGGGAAGATATCAGTTGAGGTGTTGTATAAGAGGTTTCATACATTCGATGATATGATTGGACTGGAATCGATGCTTGATAATAACCATCCAATGTTTGCATTTTCGTTAAATCTTGAATATTTGAAGACGTTATATCCAATGGCTCATTTTTGGGAAATTCCAATTGACGGCCTCCAGGAGGTGCCGTCTTGATAACGGATGTCTGTTCCAATTGGAATTGAGACATTTTTATTAGAAGATATAGATTTGATTGATTTTGTTTCCCACTTTTTTTGTCTGGAATATTTCAGGGTTTTTCGAATTAAAGAAAAGGAAAATAAGGGATTTAAGGCGAGGTTTCGAATCAGAGAAGAAAAAAATTAGGAGAAGAGTTTCAACAAAATCAAGATAAACAGAGAATGATCTAATAGAGCAGAAAAGCCAAAGTGGAAGTTTGGAAACAGAGAAAATACCGTCAGAAATGAAAAAAAAATGTTCGAAATCTACAATTGTTGACAACCGAAATTTTTTACAGTTTCACTAAATTTTTAAGTTTTTGAAATTTTCAAATTTATCAATAGGTTGTTCAAATCACCTTGTCAGGCTTTTAAATCATTGTCAACTTTGAACCCTCATATCTCGGTTCTTGTGAAAAATATAAAAAATCTGTCAACTGATGAAACGTTTGCATCATTATGGTAAACAATTTATCAGTTGACAACTTTTCCATATCCTTAACAAGAACCGAAATAAATTGAGCTCAAAGTAAAAGCTCCCGGCTGAGCTACGGGGTTGCAACCGGCACACTTTGAAGCTCAATTATCTCAGACCCCATAAATCATAATAAAAATTGGTCAATTGATAAAATATTTGTGATAACATGATAAGCATTTTATCAGTTGACAACTTTTTCATATCTTTTACAGGAACCGAGATAAATTGGCTCAAAGATAAAGGTTAGCCGGGGGAGGGGCTCTATTACAGGTTTTACGGTGTTTAACTCATTACATTTGGTAATGCTGCAAATTTCGAAAATTCTCGGTCCCTGAATTTTCTTCTTTTGTTTAATTACAGTCCATTCCCCCTCGCTAAACTAAAGAGAACGTACCATTCTCCTAAAATCTATGAATCTCCAAAAAACCAGTTGTTTGCCTCATTTTCATTAACAGAGAATAAAGAAAAGAGAGTGTGACCTGGTTGTTTTTGTCCCATTCTGATGGCCCAGAACCACGTCACAAAAGAAGAAAAAAGGAATCTTCTGAATTCCGCCACGTCATTAGAAACTTTGAAAATTCAAGAGAATAGGGGGGAAAAGAAGAAGACAATACAATAATAATAGAGGAGAAAGGGATGTGAGGGGTAGTAGGATCAATGTCATAATAATAATAATAAGGTGAATTGAAAAAGGTGAAAGTGAAACTTCGTCGTCTTCTCCAGAAGATGAAGTCCTCTGGAGAAGAATAAGAAAATGAATGTGATCGATTAAGAAGAAGAAAATGCTTCCCAGGTGCAATGAACCCAATTATTAGTTATGAGGGAAAAGAAGAGGTAGAAGTAAAAGTACTTCTTCCAGAGGCAAAAGATTGGGATCTAAATTGGTACAAATTTATAGAATGTATGAAGTTGAGAAACAGTTTTGGAATAGAAAAAAAGTCATTCAAAACGCTAAGGTACGAGTCCAGCGATATACAATTTACGGCAATTAAAAACTTTTTCAGTTTTAATAAAATTTTCGATTTTTAGCTAGTTTTGAATACATTAATATGAGCGTTGCTACTATCACTTCACTTACTATTAGATCACCACTTTTCAGGCTTCCAAAAAACAGTAAAGCCTGTGACAGAACACAGAAACACAGAAAAACTTTGAGACAATTTATCTCGGTTCCTGGGAAAGGTACAACAAATGTGTCAACTGATAAAATATCACTGATATAATGATAAACACTTTGTTAGTTGACCCCTTTTTGATATTTCTTACAGGAACTGAATTATATAGGTTTAGAGTTGACGGTATAAATGAGCAAACTTTCTGATAGAATGCCACATTGGCTTATACTTCGAGCTCAAATATCCGGGTTCCTAATAGAGATATCAACAAGTGGTCAACTAACAAAACGTTCATCATAATAATATTGATATTATCAGGAATATTTTATCAGTTGACAAGCTGTTGATATCTTTCACAGAAATCGAGATATATGGACTTAAAAGAAAAAATATGTACGCTTCTTACTGAAAGTTTACCGTAAGATATGAAACGGTAAAAAATCTAAAAGAAGTGAAAGACAACATATTTTTACTTAGACAACAAGTAGAACCGTACAAACTTATTAATAACAAACTGCTTCTGAAAATGTAGATTCCGAAACAGTATAATTTTCTCAATGAGTACCAAACTGATTTTCTTCAAACCGAATTTCTCGAAGCTCACGGCAGTTTCAAAAAAACCGTAAACATGTTTAGAAAGGAAATTTCACGGGCTTTCTAATGATATAAGTCATGAATGGCAACTTGGAGACATGTTCAGATAGCTCTTTAGTCAGGAAAAGTTATTTCGAAAAATCTGACGAGAATTCAAAATCTTATGAGTGACCGTAAATAGAAAAAAATCGATTTCGAAAATAATAGTGTCAAACATCTATTTTTGGTTTCGCTGACGTTGCGAAATGTTTCCGAAGTATTTCAATCGGATCGGATGAAAAAAATTGAAAAAAAAACGTTTACAGTTTCAAGAAATTTGTAATAGCCTAGAGGTATGAAGTTGAATTAATAAAATTAGCATGGGAACATACAGCTGGAATTTTAGGGAAGTTTTAGGAATTTCAAATGTTTATTTAGTTTGAAAGGATGAAAGAAGAATAACCGGAAAGTTAAATTTCAGGAATCAGGAATACGGAAAATTCAAAAATTTAAGAAAAGGATTTTAGAAAGTTCTGGAATTTTAAAGTTCATTGAGTTATAGGAAGCTGTTATACTTAAAAATAAGGAAATTTGAAAAGTATAAGTCTATAGAAAAATTAGAACTTTGAGAAATCCAGAATCACAAAATTCCAGCAAAATTGAATAATTTTAAAAGGTTCAATAATCCAGTAATAAAAATTCGAGAAATTACAAAACGAAGTAAGAATCCAGAAATTTATGATTTTCAAAAAATTGGAACAATTCCCAAGCTAATGGACAAAGCATTATGAATTTAGGCCTACATGACCATCCAGTAGAAGCTTCTAGAACCTTCTAAAAACTTCCCTTCACCCCTTTAACTCATTTTCAGTCATCCTTCTTTTCTTTTTTTCTATATTCCAACCAAATCTCAATATTTCTTCTTCCTTTCTCATAAATTATATTTTCTTTTCTTTCAGATTTCAAGACAAGGATGGACAGGTAAAGCAACCTGTTTGGGGGGTAGTAGATAGGAAGAGACAAGAGGAAGGGGTCAAAAAAAGAGAGAAGGGAACTGGAAACTCGAAAACTAGAAACAGCCGCCCGAAAACAGGACCCGCGATGGGGTCCCAAAAAACCGGAGAAGTCTTGTCCTCTCTCTCTCGAGAGATGGTCCAGCTTCTTCTTCGACCAGGCAGAGACTGGATGGACAAGAACCGGTGTGCGCCCGCGCGAGAAGCGGGTAGATCACTCTAGCCAGCCAACAGTATCCGGTTCTCCCTTCTCCTGGAAACCCGCCCCAGAAAAGGGGGAGTAGCCCCTCCCGTCAGCTGGAGGAAAAGAGAAAGACACTGCCAGCAGGCTACAGGCAAACATTGAAAACCGGCTCCTCTTCTCTCTTTTTCTTCCCGTGCGAGACGAAATTTCGTCCGCCGCGCTGCCGAAGCCCCGCCCATCAAACTTCCCACCGATTCGTCTGGCTCCGCCCACCTCCCTCTTCGTGTAGAGACGGAGAGATGGGGATAGTGTGACAAAGATGTCTAAAATGTATCTTACGATATATCCCCCTTCAAATTAGGCCATCTCTTCCCTTCTCTTATCAATTGATATTCTTCCTCTCTTTTTATGATCTTCTTATCCTCTTCTTTTCCGTTTTCTTTGTATTCTTCCTTATCTCTTCTTATCACCTCCTTCTTCCTTCTTTAGCTTCATCTAAGGAGGGGTGATGAATTGACTGATAAGCTTCATCTAGGGTTACTGTAGCTGCTAGATGAATGATGATGATGAATTGAGTGGGGGGGGGGATGGTCATGAGGATGGTCGTGATGATGATGATGACGATGTTGAGAGAGAATAAAGGATCAGGGATGAGGATTACTGTAGTTATGTGTAGTAAGCATGATGACCAACTTTTAGATTGTTCTAGGTTTTTGAAAAATTTTCAGTTTCAAATCCAGGTGAACTGTCGAACTGAGCTTTTATGTTTCAAAAAATGTTTTTTTTTTAGAAATTATAATGATTTTAAAACTCTTTTTTGCACATTTCAAAATGCATTTAAAGGGGGGGGGACAGGAGATTTTTCGGAGGATTTTTGGAGCTAGAGTATGCATTCTACCGTAACGCTTAATGTCACTATGCGTACAGCGGTCGTCCTCACCCTTATATTTATCACCGGGCGCGCGCTCCTCTCCTGCCAGCGTGGCAAGAGTCTCTTGCCAGCTTGCCAGTCGATAGCGGCGCTGTACCCCTGATCTGACTGTCATGAGTTCATCTCCTCGTGAGGCATATTTAAACTGAATTTTGAGAACGTTATTTTTCTCATGTCCCCCACCTTTGAACGGTTTTTTTTTGGGAAAAAAATACTTTCAAATTTTACATTAACCTGTAATAGAAAGGACTTTCTAACTTTTAACAATGAGGTTGATTATCTCGGCCCCTTTGAAAGATATGAAAAAGTTGTCAACTGATAAATTATTTATCATAAACTCAGCAATATTTTATCAGTTGACAGATTTTTGATATCTTACATAGTAGCCGAGATAATTGAGCTCAAAGTGTACATATGGTTCTATTAGAGCAAATAGGTATTTTTAGACACTTTTTTGGAAGGTTTTTCCTGGAAAACGGGTATTTCAAATTTGACATAGACTACGCATTGAAGCTTTATCTTCACTCCAAAGGTATTCCGATTTTCATAAATACTTCAGAAATGGAAATCTATTTTTGAATTTAAAAGAAATTTAACTGTTTCAAAAAGTTTTCATCAGTTTTTCATAATACGTAGTGTCAGTTCTCGCAAGGTCTAATCTCCCAGTTATAGAATGTACGAAAGTCCGAAAATTTCGAATTGTCAAAAATTTGGAAACTGTTGATATTCATCTTTTTGAATGTATTTTCCTGATATAATCCCACCAAAACCGTCAACTTTGAGCCAATTTATTTCATTTCCTGTGAATGATATCAAAAATGTGTCAACTGATAAAATATTGGTAACATTATGATCGACAATTTATCAGTTGAAAAATTTTTAATATCTTTCACAGGAACCGAGATAATTGAGCTCGAACTTGCTGGTCTAAGAAATACGGTAGGTCAGAAGATCTTTTCCAACATCACTGAATTTCAATCTCCAAAATTAATCTTTTGTTCATGTCTAAAAAACTGTGTGCTTTCAAAATCTCTGGAACTTTCTAGAACTATGAGATCCTTTTCATTGGCATGAAAAACTTTATTACAGTTTCAATAGCCAATATTCTATGTAATCGGTCATATTCTCTGATAGAACCCACCACAACTATCAAAAAGAATTTCAAAAATTGTCAACTGACAAAATGTATATCAGAATATCACCAATATTTTATCAGGTGTTAAATTTTTAATATCTTTGACAGGAACGGATATAATTGAGCTCAAAGTTAACGTACAGAGTGGGTCTTCTGTTAAAGCATTTACGGTAGTAAGCGAAATCTGTAGACCAAACAAAGAATATCTCCTCTCTCCATCTGTAAGCTTTTTGTCGAATCCTTCTCCGATTGTTCCTCTGCCAAACCCACCGATTCATCGGATTGTTCTCTTCCCGAAATCCGGTTTCTCGGGATCATCCGTCTTTTTTGCATGGCTATGGTTAGCCAGGTTACAGGGGGAAAGGGACAAAGATTCGAAATGGGCACCCTTTCTCCTGAATACCGGTTTCGACGGTGTCTTTATGACCCCTTCCGAATGGACGTCTTCTTTTTCGATTGAAATGAAAAGGGCAAAATAATAGGGGAGGAGGACCCGAAACCTGTTCCCGAACAGTTGAAAGTTTGGGCAAATCGATTGACCTCCTAGACTCTTTATTTCATTTGTTCCCGTTTTTTCTCTTGTTAATTGATGCTATTAATTGGGTTATTGAATTTGCTTTTTTTCAGAATTATGTGAACTGCTAAAGCTGCAATTGAATCATCTTTTTTTTTTTGGGTTTTTGTTCTTTTGTGAATTTATTTTTCTAATAAACTGATTTGCCATTTGAAGCTTATATTTTCAAAGTGAAGCAGAAAATTTTTCAGAAAAAAGCAAATGGGATCATATCCGGATCATTGAGCCAAAAATATAAAAAACCTGATATGGAAATTCTGAAACCGGAAATTTTTTTCAGAATGATAAGCTGAAATGTCCAAATTTGATAAACCAACAAATTACAAAACTATTGACAATTGTAGTAAATGTCTATCGTAGTGAAAAGTGTTGCTTTTTCTGAAATTGAAAATTGTTCAAAGCATTGATGAGCTAGAAACGTAAAAACTTGATATCGAAATTCTGAAACTGGAATTTTTTTTCAATAATGTTTAATTTTTCTGGTTCAGTTTCCTTTATTATCTCTATTATTCTTGTCCGGGAAATGATGAACATTGTGGCTGAAATTTCATTTAAAGGCGCATCGTCGGTCCTGCAGCGAATAAGCGATTTTTTGTCGAATATGTGCACCTATAATACAGTACGACAGTAATATACATAATACAGTAATATAATACAGTAATATACACCTATAATACAGTATCTGGCTATTAATTTGATTTTCGCTCATTTTTGTCTGATTCGCAGAAATTATCAGGTAAATTGCATTATAAAGTAGAAAAAAATAATTTACTTTGGCCCATCTTTGGCTGTATTTTCTACAGAATAAGCAAATTCAGCTGATAATTAATGAAAATCAGAAAAAAATAACGAAAACGTACGAAAATCTGAGAGAAATTATGAAAACCATACTTGTAAAATTCCGGGCCG